ATAATTTTTTAAAATTTTTATTTTTAAAGTATATTATTAAAAATGTCAACTCACCTTACACGTAAGCATGTAACATGATGAAATGGATGGTAACTTGCTATTCGATAAAATTGCATGCATTTGATAGTATACAAAATAATATATTTACAGCACTCAAATAATATATATATATATATATATATATATATATATATATATATATATATATATATATATATATATATATATATATATATAGGGAAGGGTTCAGGTGCGGGTATAGCTTCCCGTGCGGTTAGATCTCAACTGTTGATCAAATTTAGATCAACGGCTCAAATCAATAAAAATTTAAAAAAAAAAAAAAACGCGTGTCGGGAAGAAGATAGCGCCTACACAGTGTCTACACAAATGATAGCGTCTACAAAAATGTTAGCGTCTACACATAGCGTCTACACATTAAGTACAAACCCCATACACATTAAGCACAGCCTCACGCACATTAAGCACAAACCCCACGCACTTTAAATATTAACTCACAGATTTTAAGTTTCAACAACTATTGACATTAAGCACAACCTCACGCACATTAAGTAGAAACCTCACACACATTAAGTACAACCTCACGCACATTAAGCACAAACCCCACGCACTTTAATATATTAACTTACAGATTTTAAGTTTCAACAACTATTGACATTAAGCACAACCTCACGCAATTAAGTACAAACCCCACACACATTAAGCACAAGCTCATGCACATTAAGCACAAAAAGCCCACGCACATTAATCACATATCCGCTCACCTTAATTTTGACCTACATGCAAAAATTACAAAATTGCCACCGCATTTTTTTTTAAATTTTGACAATTCTAAACGTTGATTTAAGCGAGATGAATGGTCCAAATTAAACTGCACAACCGCACCTGAGCACTCTAACCGCACCAGAACCTAATTCTATATATATATATATATATATATATATATATATATATATATATATATATATATATATATATGAATTCAAATAATATATTTTATATACATAAATAATGTATTTTTTGTTTATAATTGACACAATAATGATTAATATACCATGCAATCATTATTGTGTAGACCATGCATGATCCACACAAGCTTTGTGGATGATATTTTGTATATTATAAAATAATGTACATTTAGAACATAAATAATATAATTTTAGTATATTAAAATATATTATGTTATCAAGAAAAATACATTATTTGAATATTAAATGTACATTATTTTATATAATATACACTCAGTATACAAATAATGTACATTCATTACACAAATAATGTACTTTTAGTACATTAAAAATGTACTTTATTTTATGTCTCATACAACACTATGTGTACCATGGTCCACACAATAATTTGCCTATACCATGGGGTTGGGCTATGCATGGATTTGGGCTTGGGGCCTAGGGGTTAATTAAGCAATAGTTATGCTGTGCAACGGGTGCACACGGTTGCAAAACGACGTCGTTTTGACTAAAAACGTGTGTCCCATTTAAAAAAAATCAGTTTCGATTCCCCTCAACAGCATTGTGTTGTTCATTCATTCTGGATTTTTAGTTCATTCATTGTGGATATTTAGTCCATTCGTTGTGGATATTTAGTTCATTCATTCATTGTGGATATTTAGTTCATTCATTGTGAATATATAATTCAAATTATGCACAAAAAAATGCTATTGCCGGGAATCGAACCTGATATATTTGTTTTAAAAAGTGGGACACGTGTTTTTAGTCAAAACGTCATTTTTGCAACTGTGTGCAATGGTGCACACGGTTACATAGCATAATTTGGCTTAATTAAGTTGTGTTTGGGGATAGAGGGGAGCCAATGCAATTGTTATGTTGTGGAACTTTGTCTACTTTGTAAGGTGGACACGGTTCTATATTCATAATTACTGAACTCTATTTTTTTTTTTTTTGATAAAGAACTCTATATTTATGATTATAAAATTCTATATTCATAATTTTTAAACTTCGTATTCACAATTATTCAACTTTATATTTACAATTACAAAATTTTATGTTCATAATTATAAAAGTCTATGTTCATAATTTTTGAACTTCATATTCACAATTATTGAACTATATATTCACAATTACATAACTTTATTTTCATCATTTTTAAACTCTATATTTACAATTATAACAATTATAAAACCGTATCATTTTGCAATGTGGACACGGTTTCACAGCATAATTTGCCCAAGGGGGAGCTGGTTAAGGAAGGGGGCTGGCCCATAGTAGCAATCTGGGCCCAGTCACATAGACTGCAACGGATAGTTATGCTGTGCATCCGTATGCACCATGCATGGTGCATACGGATGCCAAAACGACGTCGTTTTATTAAAAAACGCGCGTCTCTCCTTTAAAAAAAATTCAGGTTCGATTCCCAGCAACAACATTATATTGTTCATTCATTCTGGAATTTTAGTTCATAGATTATGGAATTACAGCTCGTTTGGTTCGCTGGAAAATATTTGAAGGGAAATGGAATTGAAATTCCATGGAAAATAAATTCCAAGAAAACAGATTCCATTGTTTGGTTGGTGGAAAAGAAATTACTGGGAATATGAATTCCATTGTTTGGTTGAGTTTGGAAGGGTAAGGAATAATGAGTATAATGACAAATATAACCCTACACAATAATAATAATATAATAATAATAAGAGTAATTAATAAAGAATGATGAGGATAAAATTGTCATATTAGTTTTCCATGGAAAAGGTTTTCTATGGAAAACAAAATACTATACCTAGCATAAGCTAGGAATTTGTTTTCCTTGTTCTTAAGGAAAACTTTTTCCAATGGAAAAAGTTTTCCTTCCAACCAAACAACATAAAACATCATTTTCCTTCACTTTTAGGAAAACATTTTCCATGGAAAATGTTTTCCATCCAACCAAACACCCCCTTATACTTCATTGATTATGAAATTATAGTTCATCGATTCTGGATTTGTAGTTCATCGATTCTAAAATTTTAGTTCATAGATTATGAAATTTTAGTTCATTCATTCTGAAATTTTTAGTTCATAGATTAGATTCTGAAATTATAGTTCATAGATTCAGGAATTATAGTTCATCGATTCTGAAATTTTAGTTTATATGTTATTGCTGGGAATCGAACCTGAATTTCTCTTTTTAAGGGAAGACGCGCGTTTTTAATAAAACGACGTCGTTTTTGCATCCGTATGCACCATGCATGGTGCATACGGATGCACAGCATAATTTGCCGACTCATCCTACAGTGGGTAGTGCGATGTTGAGTACATGAGTTGACAAAGTTAATACATCATCATCATCCGTCACTTCATACGTCATCACAGACATTACCATCAAACCCTAAAGCTAAATTAAATTTTCAAAAATTAAAATAAAATTGTTTTAAAAAAATACTTCGGTATATAAAATAAAATAAAACAACATGTCCAACAATGGCCAATATCAGATTTGGAGAATACCATGGATTAAGGTTCACACTACACTATGAATCTTGGTTCATGTGTTTGTATTTTGTATTATAATTTTTTGTGTATTTGTGTTATAAAATTTTGTTCCTTATGAATGAATTATGTACTTAGAACAAATTAGTAATTAAATAGTTAGAATCCTTTGGGAGACTTTTTTTTTTCATTTTTATTTTCCTTTTTTTTTAATATTAATATCTAATTAAATATGTTTTATATTTTTTGTATTTTGATGTATTTTGATTTTTCATCTCTAGTCAACAATATTTATGACTCAATTTTTATGTGTTTCATTTTTTCTCCAAAATATCTCATTAGTTTTAATTGTCCGCTCCCACTGAAGAAGATTTCTAGATCCACCCTTCTACCTTACAGATATGAATTATGTATCTCTTCTTTTCAATTCAGTCGGGTCCATAATTGTTGGAAAATTAGCTTAAAAAAGACATAAAATGGCTTGAAATCCAACTAGAGGACATCAAAATCCAACTAGAGGACATCAAAAGGCTTGAAATCAAGCCCGAGCTCGCGTGCGCCGGCACCTGCGGGCACGGATGTCGTCCGGAAATGGGCTAAGTTATGCCTAACTTCGGTATCTTTTTCCATCTGATATAGTCACTTGGTTCACTTGGTTCGGTCAAAACCGAACCGAGAGCACCTACTCTCGTGTGTAGCAGCACCACAGTGCACGCGAGAGATGTACTCTCGTGTTGCTGGTCCGTATGCTCTCGTGTGAACCTGCACCCCAACGGTCTGAAACCCGAAAGTTCAGCCTGTTGTACAGATTAAACTCATCTGTTACGGAATTAATACTGTTTTAATTCCAATTTTAAATTCTGAGTTTAATCCTACTTAGTGGGTGACCGTTACAGGTGTTATACAATTGGTTTTAATCCCAATTTACTGCCATGTTGAATGCTATCCCTTCCAACGAGCCCTATATAAAGAAGACGTTGGGCATAAGCATTTTACACACACACACAGTGAGAAAAACGAAGGAATTCCAGTATAGTTTTCAGCTTCAAAACTTCTTCTTCTACTCTCTTCTTTCCCCAGCTGTGTTCCAGCTTTGTTTTGTTCGCCGGGCTCTTTGTTTAGGTGTTTAAACAAAGAGTCGTAGCACGTTTTATCCTGGGAAACCTAGGCTACAACGCTCCTAACACTTGTGGGAGGTAGCAAATAAGGTTTTAAGGAAAAGAACCTTGTGTTCGAACTCGTGCTAAAGCCTTTACCCCAAACACTCAACCTTTTCCTTCCTAGTTTCTGTTTTCCCATATAATATTAATCTTTTCGTAGGATTATTATTATTTTGGGATTTTACAACCATATTACCCAACAATAATGCTAGATTTGGAGGTGAAACAACGGTTTTGTGCGAAAATACTCTTTTGGGTGCTTGGACACGCCACGCGGTTTGTATAGATTATTGTATTATGGCAATATTTGGTAGAAGATTATTGCTTGCATTATTATTTAATTGATGTGTGTAGTATAAATACTAAATAGTATCCATCCTGCCTTACACTACATTTCACCATTCATCGAGATCATCGAGATCATCAGGTGGATCCACGATCTACTGCGACAGTTCCTAGGTAACCTTAAACCGATCATCTATGCCCTATCTCTTTACTGTATTTTTATTTTTATTTTTATTTTATTATTTTTTATTTTTCTCTGTGTGTTTGAGTGTAGGTGTCTGATCTGCATGTATTTGTGTGTTTATAATTTTCATGGAACCCATAATAATTTTACTTTTATTTTTTTTAAGCTTTAATTTGCTTTCCTGATTTCAATTCGTCTCTTCTTCTTCTTCAAAGCTTTAATTTATTTCCTGTTTCTTAACTTCATCTTAATTTTTCTTTAAAGCTTTCTCAACTCCTCCTCCACCTCCTTCTCTCTTCCTCCATTTGCCTCTTCTAGCTTCTTGGTGATTGTACATGTAGCATCTAAATAGTGAATATAGCAATATGCATATATGTCATTTCCCCTTAAGAAAGTTATATAACAGAAAAGAGAAAAATTATCAAAGACAAACAAATATATACTTTTTACTGGTCTCTAATATTTTCAATTTGTATTGACCCTAAATTCTTCCATTATTGATGAATCTAGATAGACAATTGAGATCAATCTTCACTTTTTTGAGCACTCTATTCTCATTTGATCCTGCCAAAGAGAGGTCAGGTTGGTGAACCATTCTGTAATAGTTCACTAGTCTATTGGTTAAACCAGTAGGTTGGGTCACTTGGGTATAATTTGTTCTTTTATTTATTTAAACCTCTTGTAGGAGTTGTAGCCATTTAAAATAGGAAAAAGTATCAAATTGGCCACCTAAGTCGAGTGGATAGTGTAATTGGATCCCCTAAGTGAAAAAAGCTTCATTCAGGTCTCCTAAACCTGTAAAATTGTTCAAGTTTGACTTGTTTATTAGGTTAAATGCATACGGTGTTGACACGTGTCTTTATTTTATTTTTTATTAAAAATATTATTTATTATAAATTAATTAAAATAATAATAATAATAATTAAAAATATTTAAAAAAACAGTCGTGGCCGTCCGGCCACAGCTGTCTAAGGAAGACGATCGTTCCAGTCCCCTTTGTCAGGGCGGCGGCGAAGGCCGTAGTCCAAGTCAAGATCTAGAAGACAGCCATGGCCGTCTTCCTTAAACAGCCATGGTCGAACGACTACGGTTGTCCTTGAAGAAGGAAGACAGCTATCGGCTGTCCAGTGTCGACAGCCGGTGGCTGTTTTTTTTTTTTTTTTTTTTTTAATTAAATTTTTTATTTTTTAATTATTATTATTATTATTATTATTATTATTAATTTATAATAAATAATATTTTTAATAAAGAAATAAAATAAGGACACATGTCAACACCGTATGCATTTAACCTGATAAACAAGTCAACTTAGACTTAATTAAATAATTTTACAGGTTTAGGGACCTGAATGGAGCTTTTTTCACTTAGAGGACCCAATTGCACTATCCATTCAACTTAGGGAGCCAAATATTTTGAAGGAACAAAAAAATTTTAATATTCTATATAATATTTTTAAAAAAATTAATATTATATTTAATATTTAAAAAAAAAATGGGGATGGTGGGGGCAGGCCTCCCTTGGCATACCTTTGCCTCTGCCCCTGGTTTGGACTAGGGGTGGACACTTCGGTTCGGTTTATCCGAATCGATCCGAAACGAACCAACCGAACTGAACTAGTAATAGAAAATCGAACGGTTCGAAAATTTGTAACTCGAACGGTTTAGTACCGAACCAAACCGAAACCGAACGATTTGGCAAAAACCGAACCGAACCGAATGCTATATAATTTTTTAATAAATAATAATAATAATAATAATAATAATAATAATAATAATAATAATAATAATAATAAAGAAGTAAATCCAAGTTCCTTGATGCCTGCTCCGCCGTTCAGTTCTCATTCTTACTTGTACCGAACCTTACATTTTTTATTTGATTTCTTTATAGCTTGTTTTCTACATTGCACTTTTGTTGTTTGTCGCAATTGTTCTTTACCTCACAATTATATCTAACTTCAGTTATATTTACAATATTCAGTATTTTCCTTAGTTTCATGTTTTTCTATAAATTTAATATACTTTACAGTCATTCTAATTTTGATTTCCAGTGCACTATAATTATTTTCTAGTACTGTAATATATTTCGAATGCAGCAATGATAGATTGTGTCCAAAAATTAACTATATAGTAATTGACACTAGTTTTTTTAATATCAACTATACAGATTGATGATTATTCATCTTATCAATCAAAATATTCTAACTGAACCAATTGAAGAGTCGGTTGTGCACAAACGTTAACTGATGTTTGGTAATTAGTACTTAGTATTGTGTTTGAACTTTGGATTGCTATTTTGTTATATAATGTTTAGAGTTTGAATTTGGATTATGTGAATATGTATTGTTTGGAAGTATGTTCGAAAAATTAGGAAATGTTGAAATTTGGGGATCTTAAACCGAACCGAACATCGAACCAAATTAAATCCGAACCAAAATCGAACCGTTTCAAATCGAACTCTAATGTTAAACCGAATGGTTTAACTTTTTTTAAAACCGAAAACCGATACCGAAACCAAAATTAAAAAAAAAAAAAATCGAACCGAAACCCGAAACGCCCACCCCTAGTTTAGAAATTTGGCTATAATGGGAGCAATGCATTTTTTTTATGAGGGGGGATTCAACACTTTAGTAGTTTAATGTTTTTTTTTTTTAATACTAGTAACTCAGGTGTTACAATATATTATCTATTCATAACTATTTTCTCGACCTATTGAAACATAAATGGTGTAATATTCTCGGAATCTCCCATATATGGTGTAATATTAGTGCAATATTCTCGGAAATAATGGAAGGGCTGAATTTTTTGATTTTTTTTTTTCAATGTGATTTTCTGGTAGGTTAAAATCGTCGCAAATAGTAGAATAATAATGTCGTCGCACCAACATCCTATGAGTCATGCGAAAGACTCCGACGGCATTGCTGCGGCGTTTGAACATTTGCCCAAAGCTTCTAAAGGGTGGCAAGCCGCGGAAGTAACCAAGACAACGGTGAAAGTATATTTCCGGGACCAAGAAAATAGCGGTGTTGAGAATAAGCCCTACGGCGGAGTTGGCGGCGGCGCTTCTTCTCCGTGCTGCCATGCCCACGGCGTGGCGAACAATATGCACGGTTGTCCTAATTGGAATGGTCCGAATGGATATATAATTTCTTGTCCGAATTGCGGGTATTTCCCATTGAGATTTCCACAGCCGGAGTATTGGGGGGGCTTTGTGCCTCCGCCGCCGTGGGTAGCTCTTGGAGTTCCAGTTCCATCAGCACCGCCTTTGCCCGACGATCATTACTCTTCTCCGCCTTCGCCTCCACCGCCGGGGACTGACCCACTCTACATGATGTTCAATGACGACAACACTAGAAGTATCTGCACCATTATGTGAGCCAACATACGCAGTTCTGATTCAAATTTGTCCTGTTTTGTATCCTTGCAAGCAGTGGGTGTATCAGTATGTGTTTGATTTGGGTAGGGTCAATGTTGAAAAAATCGCTACGCGCTCTTTAGGTGTTTGGGGCCGCCTAGAGCGCCTAAGCGCGATTTTTGCAACACTGGGAAGAGTTGATCGTGTTTGAGTTAATAATCACAAGATTTTAAGTTTATTCCTCATGAGAATGGTCTATAAACCTTTTTTTTTTTTTTTTGTATGAGAGTTATTTGTTGACATTTTTGTTTGAGTTGATAAGTTATGGTCTAGTTTATCTCCTGTAACTTTTTGTGAGTGATGGTTCACGTAGAGCCAACTTTCAGTTCTAGTGGGGACAATAAAATTTTCAATACATCATTGTGTATGCAGTTAACACATTATATCCATGCACTTAATAATTTCTATACATGTAAACAATTTAAAGACCGATAACATACTATGTAAATTATTAATTGCACGTACAGAATACATTAAGTGCAGGTACATAATAAGATATTAGTTAACATGTTATGTTATGCATGTAATTAAAAATTTATGTGTATATATGTAATTAATAATTTTTATACATGTAAACAAATTGGAGACACGCACATAGCATGGTCATGTTTAATACATTTGTGGTTCAAAATGGTCATGTTTATATATTTGATTGTACCGTACAAACACTGGATTTTAAATCATAGGTGTTAGTTGCTCCACCAAATTTTGGTAAAAGGTATATTATTATTATTAAACAAATGTTTCTCACCCCTAAATTATCACTCCTTATTAGACATTTTTAAATTACTAAAATTATTTATTTTCATCGACTAACTCACATTGAATTAATAAATAATCTAAGTATTTTACTATTTAATAAAAAGATGATACTTCAAGAAGTGGCTAATAAGAAGCGTTAATTATAAGGCATAACTATTAACTAATATATCTCCCGTGGCTAGCTCAAATGACCTAATCGCTTCAGGCTAACATCTATTTAATTTCACTGATGTACATAATATAATGTGTTAATGTTTAAAAATTTGAATCCTATATATAATAAAGTCATATGGTCTTGTGAAAATTAAATGGTTATAATTAACATTTAATTTTCACAAGACCATAATAATATTGTTAATTATAATATCAATAACAAAAATAATAATAATTACAATAATAATAATGATAATAATTTTCACTGGCAGTTTCTAAAATATATATATATATATATATATATATATATATATATATATATTTATTTATTTATTTATTTATTTATTTATTTATTTATATTTCAATTTCTACTGACAAATTATTGCGTGAACGATGGTCCACATAATTGTATGGATCATGAATATTAAATACATTTTTAATATATTAAAAATACATTATTTTTATATTGAAAGTACCTTACATACATATATAATGTACCCTTAGTATATTTAAAATACACTTTTTATTGCATGCAACCCCAAAGTTCATAAGTTAGAAATTAATATATGGCATAGCTAGACGGCCTAATATTTAAGATTGTTGATGTGCATATTGAGGACTACGGAGACAAAGATGCGTTATTCGTGGATTCATCGGATACTATCCAACAACACTCTCCAACTTAATTGACGTGAAGTAGGCTTAGTAACATTAAGATTATATTCTCGAATTATTAGTTCTCATCTTTTATTGATTACACGCTTAATTCGATAGTATTTGGAAGAAAAAATAATGTTCGAACGAAGATTGTGATTTTGGTCTTTAAAGGTCAATTGTATGTTGCTACATCTAAAGTTAGAAATCTCAAAGGTCTAAAAATTTTAATCCATGGTGACTCTAAAATTGTAATTCAATTACTATTGTAGTTTACTAAGTTCTTAAAAAATTGTAATATTAAATACTATGTACTAAATTTTTAATATAGTTTAAGATTTGTAGTAATCACCCACCTTAAATATTATTTTAATTGTTTTTTTTTTTTGAAAATATTTTAATTGTAAATATATTTATGTTCATAATTTTATCATAGGAATTCGCACATAATAATTATTAAATAACAAAAATTTTATATATGAATAAACCTCATATAGGGTATATTTTTATAACATATTTTCCGTGCATCGCACGGGACAAATACTAGTTAACAATAATAATTTCTAAATAATAATAATATATTTCAAAAGTCACCAAACCAAGTCATGGACACGTAGTTTTCAAAAAAAAAAAAAGTCATGGACACGTCGGTAGGTAACAGGACTTACTCTTTTTCCACTTGATGACGACCACTCCTACGCATGCAATTTAATACGGAGTAAATTATATTGTTTCCCTCCATTTGATCCAAAAAATAAAAAATAAAAAATTACAGTACAACTGAGGGCAACCGTGTCAATCAAGTTTCATGTTGCATATGCATTTCAAGGATAAGTTTATACTTAATTAGTATGTATGCAGTTTATAGTATGTACATTTTTCTATACATAATAATCAGTCAATGACATAATGTGAGGTTCACTTTTTCCTTTTTTTAATAACAAATTTGTTCACTTTTTTCTTTTTTTTAATACACTAACAAATTTGTTTGGAATTAAAATAGACGGATAGATAAAAAAAGAAAATGTAACTTCGTAATTTAATTTACAAGAAAATCTCAAAATTACTATTTGGATGAGTATTTTGAGTGAAGTCCGCCTTATTACGTTAATTAGTAAAATATCACAATAAAATAAACTAATATAACTTAAGTTGCACATGACTAACTGTTCAAACTAAAAAAAAAAAAAAATAAAAAAAAAAAAACAAAAAACAAAAAATAGCTCACACAAATATTTGAACTTGAAACCTTAGCGTGTAATTCCAACTCTTCACATACAAGGTGGGTCAAAACAATATTCATTGCATGCAAAATCTTTTCAAGACTAAATTAGAGCGTACATCAACAAACAAGTTTAACGCTAACAAACAAGTTTAATCTTTTCAAGACTAAATCAGTGTTAGTTAGGGGCAGGTGGAAGCTTTAAAAAATTTGCCCCGTCCTGATAGGATCCGATTCCCGCCCCAATGGTGATGAAGATGAGGAAAATTTTCAGAGAATAGGGACGAGGATACCTTCCCCGCCCCACCCCGTCTCCAAATAATAATAATAATAATAATAGTATATATATATATATATATATATATATATATATATATATATATATATATATATTGAGCAAAAGAAAATTTAAACTTTGTAGGATAAGCACTCTGCACTTGTGATATAAAACTTGTACATTGTATAATATTAATCTGTGCACTTGTAGTATAAAACCTGCACACTTTGTAGCTAGTAAAAATCTGTACATTTCAAAATTTAAAAAATATTATTAAAATATTACCACATTATTTAAAAATAAAAAATAAAAATATTCAGGGACATTAATCTGGATTATATCAAGGGCTCATTCAATCCATTGAATGCTTTGATCACCTTATTATCATTCCTTAGTTTTGTCTCCTTTATTACAAACCAAAAAATAAAAAATCAAAGTAACCCACTATTTTAACAAGATTAATCAATATTTAATTATTTATTATAGGCTTCCATATCTCTCCTAAATAAATCTTAATTTAAAATTTGATAAGCAACTTCCAGGGATTTAATTATGTATGTATAATGCCATTCCGGTCTTTGTAGTGGAGAAGACGAAACTTATCCGCCACCGCCCCCGCATCAAAATACGAATTTAGTGGCATGGGAAAACACCTCCCACCTTCTACTTACTTCATTTGTAAGGACAAGTACAACTAACGAAAGAACATTCTTGTATTTAATAAGCGTGTTAATCCCGTGAATATCGGGTGGTACTACAAATGATTACAACATTAAAAACACATATGATATATTGGACAAACCTAGCCCTATTGTGTATCAAGCATTCCTTGTTCATAAAAGGTAAAATATAATTCATTTTCAGTTGATTATATATCCTCTAATCCTAAAAGTTTGCCGTATATATCAAGATTGAAAAAATCGCTAGACAGCTGGGGACCGCCTAGGGCACCTAGAGCACCGAGACGGGCGCCTAGGTGGCCAACCACCTAGCGTCTAGGCGCGATTTTTTCAACACTGGTATATATACACTTACTATTTTTTTTTGAAGTCTCAATGGAGCAGATAAATCGCGAAACTAAATGTAGCTTAACGACTTATAAATTTCTTAAAATAAAAAAATCAATAAGCTATATATTATGTAGATATCAGTAAAATAGAGTTATTAATTCTCTTTGAGTTGATTAACCATTTGAATTATACTTTATATTAATCTTGTCGTGTTGATAGCCTTCATCGACTTTTTAAAATTATATTTACTCATCGTATATATAACATTTCTTCTCCCAAATACTGTCTATTGAATTAGTAAGTTAAATCCGTGCGGACATCATGCAACACTTAACATACAGCCAATGAAAATTTTCACATTTATTTTTTTATTATTATAATATATATACTTGCTACTTACAAAGGGTATTTATGTCCACAACCACCTGAGTTTGTCTGGAGTAGTTTGAATTGGTATTACATTCTCAAATAAAGAAATAAAATAACAGAAAAGAAAAACACTGTTTGCTGCTTGAGTGCTTGACCAGGTCTGAGGTCTCTCTCTCTCCCTCCCCCTCTCTCTCTCTAGACATATATATATATAGAGGTGTATTCCTGGCACAAAATCACAATCCAACAAATCATCATACATCAATTAAGCTTAGCTTCTTTCTAGCACAACGTAAGTTTCCTTAGCTTTAATTTGTCACCTTAAATCATATGCGTATGTCCTTCCCCGCCTATCTCTTCATCTTTAATTACTTTTTCTTGATTTTGTATATATATACAAAATAAATGGTTAAAAAGGGGGAAAAGGAAAAAGAAACGAAAAAACTCTATTGGGAAGATATGGGATACTTTGATCCAGATCATTTACCTTTGATTATATTGTTCTTTATAATAATATACACTACTGGAAATTATGGAATTTTCAACCACCTGAAAGATTTTAAATCAAGTTGAAAGTCGACCACTTTTGGTATTCGGAAAAACTTTTATTGTTATTTTCGATCACTTTTTGCTTTCAAATTTGATTTAAGATAACTTTCAGGTGGTCAGAAATTCAATAATTTCAGTGATATATAATTATAAAGGAAGATTAGAAAATTGTGACAACTTGCAGTGTAGACAGATTGAAAGGTCTGACTTTTTTTTTTTTTTTTTTCAGTTTAATTTGCTGCGAATTTAAATCATATATATATATCAAGATCGTCGCAAATAGTACAATGTCGTCGTGGTCGAAAGCTCCGGGTACTGATCAAAACATCGCCGTCCGCCTGAAAATCCATTCGAAGGGCGATGAAAGAAGAATCAAGAAATGGCTGCTGGGCATTCAGGGCGTTCGTCGTGTTGATTTTGACGTCAATAATGGAGTCGTGATCGTCTCCGGCACTATAGATCCTCCGACGCTGTTAATGATGCTGGAGAACTATGGCGTAAAAGCGGAGATCTTTGGCGCCCAACGCCGCCCTGTAAGTCCGGTGAAGGACACAGAAATTGTCGCGCCGCCGCAGTCTAAGGTTATCAATCCGCTGAATGATCCCGACATTGCGGCGCTGCTCGAACGTTTACCCAGAATTTCCGCCGGGTTGCAGACCGTGGAGGTGATCAAGACTGTGAAGATTGTGTTTATGGGGGAAGAGAGTGGCGGCGGCGGGAACAAAACGCTGGAAATTACAGCGAAAAATCTCGCCGGCGGCGGTGTTTACGGTCAGCCCCACGGCGGCGGGATTTGCGCCGCTTCTTCTTGCGGCGGCGGCGGCGGCCACCTTGTCGGCGTGGGGAACAATATGCATTGTTTCCCGCACGGCTGTCCTCATGGGGTTTTCCCGGGCATGCGGTGGCCACAACCGGAATACTATTATGGGGGGTTTTCTCCTCTAGGGCCTCCGCCGTGGCTGCCTGTTGGAATTCCATCGGCGCCGCCTCTGCCGGAGGAGGATAACTATCCGCCACCGCCACTGCCTCCGCCGCCCGCCGCCAACCCAATCTACACAGCGTTCAGTGATGACAATACTAGCAGCAGCTGCACCATTATGTGAGCCTTCAACGTAATTATCAGTTTAATTTTTTTTATAAACTGGAATATATGTTTCAATTGTCGTCACAAATTTCTGATTCAAAATCGTCGTGTTTTGTATCAATCCTTGTATGGTTGATTGTGCCCATGTACGTGTGAAGTGCAGATTTTAATTCTTGAACATGCATACATTTGTCCCACGTCGTTGTAACTTGTGTAAAAAAATAACGTTGTTTGCAAACTTTCTTTAATTTAAAATTCTTTTTTTTTTCTCTTCATTTATTATTTCTTCAGTGATTACTGACTCTACCGTATATAATTATATTATATAATACATATTATTAAATCGAATCTATGGATTAATAAGTTAAACCCTCATGAAAATTGTGATTTGTTTTTGGTAATCAGGACATTGAGTCTCCAGTATTCAATAGTTTAACATTATTGTGTATAGATTAATATGAGTTTAAGAATTGAATATGATACATACTTCTTCAATGTGATAGAGGTTGGGAGGATTCAAATTTGGAAAATACATTTTACCTTTCTTGAATTTTCCGCACATACTTGTTCTTTTGATGACGTGACTTTTATTTATTGAATACGTACACCGTGCCACGTGCGTACACATCAATTGGTGTATACGTTTTTTAAACAAAACCCTAGTGCCAAGACTAAATTCATCAAACCTAGTGATTGTTTGACTCCCTACATGTACGTGATTGCTATTTATTAGATATATAAATCTCGGGAACCTCCTAATTAAGTTATACAACTGATTGAGGATGACCGCTTGGGCCGAACATGGTTGCGCAGATTGAGAGATGGAAACGATGAGTAGGCTGGGTTCCCGATGCTTTGCCCTTCTGGCATTGATCCAAAAAAATTATGAACAATCTAAGTTTTTTTTTTTTTTTGAAAGCTACTGGTTCTATTACATTGTAGTATCTGTTCATATACTTTCTCAACCTACTGAAACACAAAGAACCAATAACCAATAACACCTCCACTGAGGCTCGAACTCATAATCTTCCAAATGGAAATCCAACCCGGGTACCATTAGACCACATAGTCCTGGTATGAACAATCTAAGTTAGTTTGTCTGATTATAATTTTTTACCAACTAAGACCATAAGACAGCCCAAACGAACTTCACCCAAAGTATATGTACATTTGGGTAGCGGTTGCAAGCATTTCTGGAACTCATCAAAGTATGTATTGTTTTTCCTTGTGACAATGCGTGGTGTGTCTGCATGTTGGACTACTTTGTATACCTTCGAACTAGGTCAAATTAGCAAATACAGTATGAAACACGTGGCATCACAAGTTGACATTAGTTCCAAATTAAACCAGACTAGATTAGAGTTATATACTTATATATCTTCCCGGCCACTTCCATTGTTAGGTTCATCAATAGGCCAAAGTAAACGTTTACCATAGATCACGTAAATTCATGGTCAACTTTTCAACATGTGCAAGTTGAACCATCATACATGACTGGCTCCTAATTTTTAGAGGTCCAGTCTTATGTGTGTATGACTTAATATTTTAATATATCTCGTTAATTTTTTTTTTAAATATTAATTACCTAATTAATTATGATTACTATCAATTCATCAATTAAATAACTCCAAATTTATAATGCCATAAAATTTTAGTTAGATTGTATTCTTTTTTTAAAAAAATATTTTTTATTTCGAAGAAGATTTTATAAATGTTATTTTTAATTTTATATTTGCAATTATATAAAAAGATGGTCCAGTTTAGTTTATTTCGTAGAATAGTATATATAATACATGTTTCTTTAAGATCGTCCTAGCTTACACAGTTACTACGGCCAAAACTCTTATTTATGGGTTTACTGCCTACTTTCCCGTAATGACAGTGAGCTTTTCTCATCATTTAAAGAGAAATCTTAATTTTGATTTTGAATTTCAATATGAATAATCTTAACGAGATTATTGTAAAGTCGCTAATAAATTTTTTAGTTTCTCAAAATAAGATACTAGTAAGAAAAGAAAAGAAAAAATTACTTAATCAATGTATGTTATATAAGAGCATCTCCAACAATGATTTTTTTATAATTTTTGTCGGATAAAAGCTTCAAGATGATTTTTTGTTGATGTGGACAATGATTTTTGGGGTGGTTTTTATTCCACCAAGAACAAGTTTATTGTGGGTCCCAAATGAGAGAGAGATGGCAAAAGGCCACTACTACCGTGCGCGTTGGGCACACATTCAATGCCCAGCCGGCTGGCACGTGCAGTGCACGCGCCGGCTGTCGCGTCTTAAGCAGGTGGTTTTTTTTTTTTTGTTTTGTTTTTTTTTTTTTAGACGTCAAGACATGTTTTTTTTTTTTTTTTTTCCTTTCCATCCCCCCTCTCTCTCTCTCTCTCTCTCTTAGTTGACACATAAAAAATCACAAAAAATAAAAATAAAAAATCAAATACTATTGGGGATGCTCTAAATGTATGAAATGATATATGATTAAGTTCGGAGTTTATTATGAAGTAGATTTTTGGTCTAAAAGTAATTTTATGTAGAAGTGTATACTATGTGCTCCTCAAAATAATTAATAAAGTGTTTTTGGTTGCTCCTATGATATTAGTCTATTGAAGACTTGCTTCCAGTAGTAGGTGAATGTTTGATTCTCGCCACTATCATCAAGAGTTCGGATTTATAGTTTGGTATTGACTCGATCTTTTACCTCCTCATGAACGTGAGATGGGTAAATTCAGTTTAAGATATAGTTCGACACAAAAATTAATCTGATCAGCACTTTAATTTTTTCTTTAATTGTTCTGGCCCGATGCGAACAATGATTAATCTGAGTATTGTACGAGTTTAAAGGTGTCTCCTACCATTAGGGTCGGCTCAAGCCACCTTGTGGTCAACACACACACAAAAGAGCAACAAATTAATAACGGATAAAAAAAATTATAATAATAGGCATGGTTGATTTTAATCTAACGCTATAATACCAAGAGAACAGAAAGTGAGTGCGAAGAGAACTTTGAGTAGCTTGGGGCTCTCAAAGTTAGAAATGGTATTCAATTCAAATTCTTCATCCTCTTTTTAGAGTGTACAATGTGATATTTATAGTGAATTTTTAGGGCCTGGTTACACGTGTTTTTGTTTGCATAATCTACTATACGTTGATGTTTATATTCCGTAGAGCTCTATTATACATTTTCCAAAATTCTACTCCTTGACGTGACATATAAAAATTGGTTAACTTTATTATGTGAATTCACAAAAAAATGTCCACATCAAGAACTTACGGGAGGAAGTATAAAGTGGGAATACACAAGTATTTTCCTATTCCATAAGTGTAAGATTTGACTACCATAACTACTTGTGACATAACCTTGACTTACTGTCCTTCTTAGCTGGTTGAATGTAGTACAATTACGTTGTTATTTCGTGATTAGGCTAACTGATCCTCAGTCGACTTTCGAGCTTTGAAGGTTAGTATCATTTCCCCCAACATACTTTTTGAAATTATGAAATCTACACTCTACATACTGATAATCGAAAATTTTCCATAAATCAATTATCAATCATATGTGATCAACCCATTTTTTTTTTTCTCAAATTCAAATTGTCATCACCATTTTTAACAAGTGATCATAGTGTGACAGTACAATATTTTAAATCTGCTCATGCACCGGCCTGCATATAGAGTTTGAGAATTGTTGGTAACTTGGTTTTGAGTCATGATAACAATATAACATGCATAAGCACTCTTAATTAATAATTATCCTTGAAGACCCACCGGAAGGGATCGAACTACTTCTGCTTGTTGAGGATGTGATTGAGATCTGTTGGTCTAAAATCGTGTACGTAGTTGAGTTGAGTTCGTTTGGGTATGTTGTGGCAATCAGGTGAGCAAAACCAGCAAAAAATTGGGGGTATATGACAACACCACATGTGGAACAACGTGAAGAATGAGACAAATATTGTACATATAACTGTACAATGTTTGCAATCATTATTGTGTGGACTGTATTTTGTATACAGCAAAATAATGTACATTATATTCAGAGAATATATATTATTTGTGTATTAAGTGTACATTATATTGTATAATGTATATTCAGTATATCAAAAATGTACTTTTTGTTAACCTCTATACAACAATAATTTGCCAAAATGCTTGATTGTGGGCTCATGCATATCCATGTGTATGGGGCCTAGGATTAATGGACCTAATTCTCATTAGAATATGTGGATTGATTTCATTTGTTTATGTAAAATGATTAAGAATTAAAAATTTAGAAAATAATGAATAAACAAATATGGTGACATTTTTGTAGTTATAATGGTACATTTGAAAAAAATTGATAGTATATTTGTAGATAACTAAGATTAAAGTGCGCGCACAATGTGTTATTAAACATTTCTAAATATATTGTCATAACTACAAAAAATGTCACTCAATTAGCTCGAACCCATGAACTCTCATATGAGAGACATGTAGAGTCATTTCGTGTCACTAGACCACAAGGTCACTGACGTTGTATACATATATACACACACATGCATGCATCGTCATAAAAAAAGAAAAAAAAAAAAAAAAAAAAAAAAGGTGCACGAAAACAGCTCATTCATGCACGACACATTGCATATATAGGCCCTGTTTGGTAAAAAATTGGCCTATAGGCCAATTTTGACTTATTTGACCACTATTAATTGCTTGATTTAGTTAAAATATCAATATAAATGTTTGATTAATTAGTTTTTTACAACTCTAAAAGGCTAAAATTAAAAAGCTACTCCTAACAACTTTTTCAGTTAGCTTTTTGAGAAAAGAAATTATACCAAACAGCTATCAGGTAACAGCTAATTTACCAAACACTTTTCTATAATCAGCTAATGTTATCAACTATTTATATCCTCTAATTAACACAATCAGCTAACAGCAAACAGCTATCAGCTAACAGCCATTTTACCAAACAGGGCCATAATGTCTTTCATGTTTTATCTTTCACATATATCAACTCATTCGCCAGTGTACTTGAATTGGATTCCTTAGCTCTTTTAATTTGATTTCTAACACTTTATTATAATGGAGACTTTATAAAAGAGGCTTTAGTTAAATATGTATACACATATAGCTTTTACGAATTTGTTGTTAATTTTGTGACTTTTGATTTTACTTTCTCCATAATATCACTTGGACGCTTTCCACATACCATATGTTTCTTATGTTGTGATCCATAAATGTAAAATCTAGTTAAGTACAAGCATGGTAATATACTAATATGTGTTGGGGATATGGGCACCCGCCCTTGATTTGAATCCAAAGTTTAATCAATTTTGGGATAGGGCATGTGACTCGAAGGTTGTTATATATATGTGTAGTTGGTTATACAATATGAATGAGCAAATATAACTTATTTAATTAACTTTGTTAATTAGACTAAAAATCATAATAGTTATTTAAACGCACGAACAAGTGATATGGGTTATAGCGACCTAGATGAGAGGATGTGGCCAGGAGGGGTATCAATTTTTGTATATATAATGATCAAACTAATACATGTGTATAACTTATATTTTTGGCTTTGGGCATTGAGTAGCCTTAAATTTTCATGCCAGGAGGTGTCTACAATTCAGCGTGGGGATTAATCACTGTATCCGATGGTGAAAATTTTGGGTACCAAAAAAAATAAAAAATTTAGAAATGCAATTCAAGTTAAACTTATAGAATAACACTATGATAATAATACTAATAACGGTTTATAGTGACTTCAATGATTGGTTAAACATATTTTTAATGGCTCTTTGAATTTTTAAATCTTTTTTACATTTATTGTACAACTTTTCCAAATTTTATCTAGGTTGTGTTCACACACCATCGAGTTAATTAGTGACTTATTATAATTCCTTTCAAATTAAAAACAAAAGTTAAATAAAAACAAAATTACATTCAACCTTTCTTTCATCAAAACCCTTCTCAAGTTACATGGTGCAGACCAAAGAGACAGAAGCAAAAAAACAACAACAAATACCCTAAAAATCTTGCCTTTTACCGCCCCAAAATCAAAACTAGAACATTTGACTCCAAACACACCAAGTACAGGGAATTGGAAACTCTTTTTCCCCCCCTTGGTTTCTAAACCATTGTATGTGGTTGTGGGCATGATCATCGTTATCTTATAAGGCAATTGCGCCGCTAATACCCTATTACAACCCTTATAAATCTCTGATTCTCTATTCCTTCCACCCGCTTTATCTAGAACTTTCTTCCCCAATCTTCAAAATATCGTCTTCTCCCTCCTCTGTAGCTCTCTGATGGCTTCCTCTTCTCCTTCCCAAGCTATTCTCCTCTTGCAGAAGCAGCTTAAAGGTATTCGTTTGTGCCCATTTTGGTTTTTGTAGTTCTCTTGATTTGTTGATTGAAAAGATCGGTTCTTCTCCTTGCAGATCTCTGTAAGAACCCTGTTGATGGGTTTTCTGCTGGGTTGGTCGACGAAAACAACCTTTTTGAATGGAGTGTTACCATTATTGGACCACCTGATACCTTATAGTGAGCAATTTTTCATTAAAGATTTGATTTTTATGGATTTGTTGTCCTCTAAAGGTTGTTTGTTGTTTGAATTGTGTGTCTCTTTTGTTCTGGATCTTTTATATGCCATGTTATTGATTGAATGGGATGGAATGGTTTGGGTTGGATCCTGTAACTTATATGAATTTTTGGGTGTTGTTTGTTTGTGATTTAGTCAATTACTTGATATTGGTTGGGTTCTTAATGCAAAAGTTTGGTTCTTTATATGAAGTGGAGATTAGGGTTTATGAAATAATGTGTTCCAGAATTCTGCAAAGTTATGATGTTTGTGTCTACTGTTATGTTGGTTGGTGTTTTCCAATCATTCTCAGTGATTAAATTGGCTTACCCATTGAGCATTTACTGATTTTCCAATTACTCGAGCTGTTGAATTAGACTATTAGAGTATCTATTTGATTGCAGAGTTTTCGTATTTGTATCATTCACTATTTTTATGTTGGCTTATTGAAGTGTGCATGTTTGGAGACTAAATTTGCTTGCCTGCTAAGCATTTAGCCTTCGAACAATTACTAAAATCACCAAATTAGAGATTGTATTTTTACTTTGGGATTCTTGGTATAGTATTGTGATCTTGATATGTATCATCATTAACGAATACTTTATGCTTATTCTTTTGTGGGTTACTTGATAATGTTTTAAACCTTAAAATTGTGAATGCAGTGAAGGGGGGTTTTTCAATGCCATTATGAGTTTTCCGCAAAATTATCCAAATAGTCCTCCAACAGTCAAATTTACCTCGGAATTATGGCATCCTAATGGTTTGTGTCCTACTTCTGAAAATACGGTTTTCGTTGGCATTTCATTTGGTTCTGTTGTTTTAAATTTTGGCATGATTTGCAGTATACTCGGATGGCAAGGTTTGCATCTCTATTCTTCACCCTCCGGGTGATGATCCAAACGGTTATGAGCTTGCTAGCGAGCGCTGGTCTCCTGTCCACACGGTACGAAACATTTCTTTCATTCTCACTATTTTGCTTGTCTCGAGAGGGTGCTGTGTCTTGTATGGCCATTTTTATGTTCTCACCATTCTTACTTCATTGTTGTATTGTCAAAATCATTTGTAATAAATACCATAAATCGGAATAGGTTTAGTAACTTATTCCACCTTATCACCTACTTGTTCCTTCAAGATTCAATTCCGTTAGGAAAAACACTCTCTTAAGTTCGACAAGACTAAATGGAGTCGTGATTTTGGAACTCAACATGTACATTTTGAGTATATTTCATTCTCTTTTTTGATTAAAAAACTCGTATTTGTTTCTTGCTGAAAATGTATATTTCCTATGTAATCTACTTTGACTGTGAGGGCTTCACTATACAGGTGGAGAGTATCGTTCTAAGCATCATATCAATGCTTTCAAGTCCTAACGACGAGTCACCTGCAAACGTGGAAGCTGCTGTAAGTATTCTCTATACCATTCTGTCTTCCCCGTCTCAATGTGAAGAGAACATCCATGATACAATAATGTCCGGATTTATGACATAAACCCGAGGTGACAGGAGATAGTCGGGATTTGAAACTGGGAAAAGATCCCGACTTTCTTTCACTTTTGCATACCATTCTTACCCTTTGTGGTTGACTGTGAATTGCAGAAAGAATGGAGGGAAAACCGCGATGAATTCAGGAAAAAGGTGAGTCGATGTGTAAGGCGGTCGCAAGAAATGATGTAAGCTAGGGTGGTGGGATTGATGGAGGGAGGAGGAAGCAAACTACTAGTCTTGTGGTTTTTATGGCTTAGTGAGGAAGTGGGAAGGGATTCTGTCTCTCTTTTTGGCTGTGGAATTGGTCTAAATTCTGTGTGTCAACCCTCTTCTTCTTTTTGTCATCTTTAACAGTTTGTTAACTTCTAAAGGTGATTTTTATCATTTTCCCATTAATATCAAATTTATTTGCAATCTTGTGTGGCTTCAGGTTTTGACCCCTCCACTGTTTTTTAATTTATTTATTTATTTTAATTCAATTATAATTATCTGTATTCTTCTTTTTTTTTTTTGGAAACAAACGAAATTCATTACTTAAAAAATACCCTCCGAAGAGATAACATCATACAAGAAAAAGGGGGCGACCTGGCCCAAACGATGTCCCTTGCTAACAGATGGGTGGGGTTGTCGAGTTTGCAGATCGACAAAATGAAAGCTAATACAGTTAAAATCATTAGCTATTTGTACTTAAGTACCACACATATATGTATAGTTCGAAAATATAGATTAATTTAACATAATGCACTAAACCACTAATATTTATATTTCATAAGCATAGATTAATTTAACTAAATTTAGTTGAACCAATCAGTTGAATCAACACTTTTGATAAAGCAACATTCATTTTCTGATTTTCAAAATGGTTAGATTTTGGAAAGAAGACTTTTCCCGGTCTTCTTCTTCTCCCTTTGTCTGATTGCCGTGTCTTGTACTAATCCCTAAACCTGCCGGCATCCTCCTCTCCCTTTCTATCATGCTCGTTCTGGCTTCTCCTGGCCGTTTTCCAATTTCTCGGGGGTAAAATCGGAAGAGAATGAGTTCACCTCAGCCGATGCTTCTGAACACCGGCCTCAACACCCCTTCGCCGCTGCCTAGAATCCAGTCGCCGTTCCAATCCACCGTCCACGTGCAGAAGCTCCGCCGCGTCAACCTTCTGATCCTCATCCTCCGATTCCTCGCCTTTTGCTTCTCCCTCGCCGCCGCCATTTTCATGTTTACCAATTTTCGGGACGGCGCCTCCAAATGGCAACACTACGATGCCTTCAGGTGTTCTATTCGGTTTTGTCCGTAAGGTAAGGTGCTTTGGTGAACTGAAATTAAACTGAAGTTTGTTCTGTTGACGTAGATTTGTAGCCTTTGCAAATGCGATTGTTGCTGTGTACTCGCTCCTCCAAGTCGGAGCTTCCGTTTGGGAGGTTTCGAGAGGCACCACCGTTTTCCCTGAAATCGTCCAGGTCTGGTTCGACTTCTGCCTCGATCAGGTTCGCTTCTCAAACCCTATTCAATTCTCGTTTTCCGATTACTGGAGTTGGATTGTCGGAAGACGTGAGAACTAAGCAGCGCCGCGGCGTTGTTTTTCTTCTTCTATAGGTTTTCGCGTATCTATTACTGTCAACTGACGCCGCCGGAGCGGCGTTCGCCCGGACGATGAGGGATGCGGGGACCTGCGCAGCCGATAACGCCTTCTGCGTGCAGTCATACATCTCGATCGCTCTGGGATTTGCCGGGTTCGTATTTTTGGGTTCGTCTTCCTTGCTTTCGGGTTTCCGGGTTGTCTGTTTCGTAATCAACGGCTCTCGGTTTCGTCTCTAAAAACGGACGGTTTTCACATCTCACCCGTTCGTTTGGGCTTTGATTTGGGTCTGTGGCCCAGATTTTACGTAATTTACTAACTTATTTCAATTTTAGTTTGGGCCGGCCCTTTTAGAATTAAGTTTATCTACTCGAGTTTGTGATTTTTTATGATGTGTTATTGTTAGTTCAATCTAATATATTCTTTTCTGACATCTGTAGTTATTCATTTTTAACGTAAACGGCAAAAATACTACGGAGTATTTCTGTAGTAAAAACTAAAATATTATATTATTTTATAATAAGTTAATGAAATTGAAATATAACACCCTCGTGACCATTTATGAGAGATGAATAGAACATTGAATAATCTCAACCAAATTAGTCGAAAAGTTAATTTAATAATCACAAAATTTTAAGTTTGATTGTTCATAGAAATGGTCTTGAACTCTTGATAGCCTAAATGGTACTGGGGTTACGATTCATATGTTGTGAACAAGTAAAAGAGGACACTCAAACGGCCTATTAGGTGACAACAGACCAAGGCTATGTTGTATTACAAGTAACGAGTGATTACAAATGAGTAGGTTACCATGTAGCAAATGTTACAAGTGGTGTTGGAAAGTAGTGGATATTACAAGTGGTGTGTTGTTGTAATGAGATGAATATGACAAGTGAGGGGGAGGACCCTCCTATTTATACTAAGTAAGTCGGTTGAGCATTAAATGCTCCAGGTGCAAGTGGTTTGACGTGGCACGCACTTGTTGGCTCAGTCGAGCGATCGATTTGCAGCTATGCGTAGGTTGATTGCTTCGAGACAACATAGCCATCATTTTTGCAGGTTGTCAGTCGCCTCTCCTGCAGGTGAAAATGTGTTTCCTTTACTTGAAGTATAAGCTAAATCTTCCAACTTGTAAAGTATTTCGTAAGTTGACCGGGTAGCTTTGGCGAACTGACCGAGTGGCACAAAGCGCAAGTGGATCCTCTTTACCTGTAGTGTAAGTTAAGTCCTTCAAATTGCGAAGTTAGTAACGCGGCAGACCGACCTGGTAGCCTTAAAGGACCGACCGAGTGGCACTCCACTGGAATCATGCGTCCCTGAGTAGGGTTATGCAAACTTCGGCAAATTTTCGGTTAACCGACAAAGTTTGATTAACCGTTTTTTAACCAAAATTTTTTGGTTCAGTTAATGATTAAAGGTTTTTTAAAATTTCGGTTAACGATTAATTCGATTCGAAATTGTCGGTTAACTGAATTTTTAAATATATATTTATATAAATAAATATATATATATATATATATATATATATATATATATATATATATATATATATAATGTAATATATAAAATACTAAAATACATCTTATTTGTATGTATTATTTTTAGGGTTTAAAAGTTTAGTTTTAAAAAATTCGGTTAAGCGATTAATTGACCGATTAATAAAAAAAAAATTAATTTGATTAATTCAGCAATACAAAATTTGATTTAATTAATAATTAAATTTTTTAATTAAAACGGTTCAGTTAACTAAACGGTTAACCGATTACACACACTTAGGACCGGGTGGTGATTTGTTGAAATCCTACGTACCGACTACTTATTTACCCATCAATATGTTTGAGGCTTATTATTCGTGACCTACAAAAATAAAAAAAGGAGATATATATGAAAAATTCGACCAAAATTTTTTTTGTAATCGTGATGAGTAAAGAATAGGAAAGCGTGCATTAATTAATACGGAGTACCTTTCTTGATGAAACAGTTCCCTGATTCTGTCTTCTCCAAAACCTAATGGGTGGATGAAGAATTGAAGAAGATTCAGTATCTTCTGGGAGGATCACAATTCACAGCGATAAACGTGGACCGGCGCGTAGGAGAAGCACGTGCATTTTCCCTCCATCAACCGTCGCTTTCATCGATCATCAATCGCCTTCCCCACAAGCCAAGTATAGCAATTATATCGGAAATCGGAAAGGAAGCTAACGCCGCTGACTTATCCTCTCTCCTCTTTTAAACCCTAGCAAGGCATACAGCTTCCAATCAAAACGTTTTTGTTTCACCAATCACAAAACCGGAAGGGGAAAAGAATCATTCAAAAGATTGCACATACATCAAGGTAATGATTCGAGTTTATTGTAATTCTACTGAATTTTAGTTGTTCAAATAATAGAATTTCTGTTTCAGCTTTTTTTACGATGAATTATATGTGCAGTGATGTTATGTAATGCCAATTTTTGAATGAAGTGACGGAATCCTCGACCTATATAAGGATTTGTTAAGCTTTTGTTGATAATCATTTTAATGGACGGAGAGATGGGAGACGAATCGGCTGAATCGTACTCACACCCGACACAAAGGTCGAATGCAAAGATTATGAGCAGTAAAAATAAGTTACCGAGAAGTTATTTAGTTGCTACGGCCTCTCAGCACTTCACAGCAAAGGCTCTGAACTGTATTACATCGGTGAAGAAATGTGTGCATTCTAGTGGAGCTGTGGGTAATGTTGTTGAGTTTTTAATTACCACTGCTGCACTTGAAATTGTGAGGAGGTTCTCCACGTCAAAGTGTCCTCTCATTTGGCGTGGTCTTCAGGCATTACAAGTTATATGTTATCCACCATTTAAGTGGTTGCAGAGATGGTTTCCTTTCAAGCCTCTGGCCAAAGAAATGCGGGTTGGTTTCGCATCCTAGTTTATATACCTGCCATAGTTTAATCTTTTTTTCTCTTTTCTTTTGGTTATTATGTGTCCTTCCTCCTTTTCAGGGAACAGGGAAGTTATGCATTTAGATATTCACTTAGCATTTCCATAACTAGTGCTCAATAGAGTTCACCTAGTTGATGCATGTATGAATGTCAGGGCATTTATATATGTTTTTAATTTTCAATCAGGTTGCTTGGAACTGTGATGAAATTTTCTTTATCAACCTAAAGATTAATCTATTCTTGTATTTGGTTTTGTGCAAAAAGAAGTTGAAATTGGATTTTGTCTAGTATTTCCCTTCACAATTGAAGTGGTTGGTTATCTATTTGTATTTTTGCAGTTAAATCCTCATCCAAGATATGTTTAATTTGTTAAAGCCAGCAATTTCTATTCTAAATTGTTTGGGTATTGCAGAAGGTAAATTAAGAAGCTGTGCTACCAATAAGATATCCTAAATGAATATGGAGTATCTGATCTCATCGTCTGACCTTAACCTGACATTTGTGGTTCATCTTTCATTTGTGTGTTTTCTGTCTTTGGAACTTTCACTGTAGTAAAGTCCTGTTCATTTTGCTAGAAAATCTCTGGGCCGATGTTGTGTCTTTCAATCGCAACAGTTTTCTCCGATGACTCTACACCAGAAGAAGACCCATCATACAATTCTAATGTTTCTCAAACACCTGAATCTCAAGGACCAGATGCTTGCCAATCTGAAAGGTGGTTGCTTGACCTACATAACAAGCTCACAATGGAAGATATTACTCTACCAGAAAGGTGAAGAAAACTCCTGATTTGTGGTCTTTTATGTTGGATGTGGAAAAACAATTTTTTACATGATTTTTTAACTTATTTCATTTTGCTACATGGGCAAACAGCTATAACCTTAAAAGATGAATTATGAATGATAGGCTGTTTGTGATGTAAATAGTTTTTTTTTTTTTTGGGTGATGTAAATAGGTTTTATTTTCATTCATTCAATCTTGCCAAAAATGATAGGTCATTTTATTTTTCAATACTATAAAACCATTCAGTTGTTTTTTTATGCACACACACACACATGTATATGTATATCATATCTCATTGTGTTCTGCACTGCCGTGGTGCTGACTTGACAGGCTTAATGACGATGAAATCCGTCGCTTTTATGCTTCTACGAAAGGTGATTTTCAGAGGACACTGTCATTGGTCAAGAAGACAGTTCAGTGGAGGCAGAGTTTCACTTTTCTATCACCACAAGAGCTACAGGCATGGTCTCATTTGGTCTTCTGGCATGGATATGATTTAAAGAAACGTCCTTGTCTTATCATTCGACTGGGACTTGCTTGCTCCAACCTCAGAGGCAGTGAGAGAGACTTTTTTGCAAAAGTAATTGGTAATTTTTTCTTACTAATAATTTGTACCCTAGGATGTTTGGAAAATGGTGAACTGCATTGCATATTCTAAACTCAATGACTAACAAAATTTGATGTTTGTACCTGCTTGAAGCCTGCTCAATTTTTAAATATGGCAAACAAAAAAGTATTGTGTATGTTGTAAACAATGGTAATTGATTGAAGCCTGCTCAATATTTGAGTTTGGCTGTAGTGTAGATTAGACAAAATCTGAATTTGGATGCAATTAGGTCCGGAAATTTATGTCATTAGATAAGTTTGGAGTGATATCAACTAACAATCACACTATGTTTTCTGAAAGAAGGAAAACTAAAGGAACATCATAGTATTCATTAGCTTTGAAGTTTGCTTAACTCATGTTTTGATTATGTGGAATGCAAGTAAAAGAGGCATTTGCAAAATGAGTTGGAGATCATTTAAGAAGCCCTAAGCTGGCTAAGCTTTAGGATTATCAATTAAATAATGAAACAGAGTTGGGATGAGAAACCTCTCTAGTTGTATTATTAAATCCTAGAGTAAAACAGATGCTTGGAAAATTGACAATTCGGTGTCTATTAAGCATCTTGCATGAGATCATGGTACTTTATGTATAAACTCTTCTGCTATCTGGTGTCAAATAAAATCTGTACTCAAGTTATTTCTTGATTCTTCAGTTTCCCAGATAGAACATGGTGTTGTGAGCTTGATTGATGATGAGCATCCTCAGGTTGTGGTGTTAATGGACTGTGAAGGATTGTCGCCTTTTGGATTCCCTGTACAGATGATGAGATCTTGTGCTACACTTCTGCAAGACCATTACCCAAACTGTCTTGGTTTGTTGATTGTTGTACGGATCCCTCATGTTGCTCAAGTGGTAATGCAGACCTTATTCCAGGTAAACTTTGTCTGTAAATCTTTGTAGCCTTTCCTTTCTTCTTCCCTAAAAACGAAAATCATATTTCCTCTGTGTAATTGTGAACACACATTGGTATCATTGTTGGCTACTCTCCAACTCATGGCATGTTGGCATCTTATTGCCTATATTGGGATACCCAAGTGTGGTTCATGATTTGCTCATGCTTATCTACATTGGATTGGTATACTTTCAGCACGGAATCCAGAGTCCCTTCAATTTCCTAGACTTGTAGCAGAGGGTGCAAAGAAAATTCTGGAAATGATAAAGATCTCCACATAGTTTTTATGGACGTTCAAAATGGTTCTAGGAGAAAGGGAAGGATATGTGAGAAAGAATAGCCATTAGTATGAGAATTGTAGGAGGTGTTTTCTTCGCTACTGCTATTTGAATTAGGGTGTAGTCGACTTGTACCATTCAAATGCTTATTTTACCTGTGTGGGCTAGCAAAAATGAATATGATTATGCACAATTTTTATGGATGCAGGTTCTGAGACCATCCACGAGGCAGAAAGTAATGATCTTAGGAAGGAACTATCAAGATTATCTCTCAAACAACCTGGATTCAGTCCCTTCCTTCCTTGGTGGGAATTGCTCATGCTCAAAATGTTCACCTCATAGCAATACAATCGAAGAAGAAGAAGAAATGCCTTTGGCACTTTCCACCGCGCATCAAACAAATGACAACACCCCCGAAATTCATCATCATTCCCTTTCAATTATAAATCCTACGAAGAAACCGTTGGTAAAGATTATTGTCACTGGAGTAGTTATGGTGTGGATCTTATTTGCCATCATTTTGGGAACTCACTATTCAAGATGGGTACCTCCTCTCTACCGGAGAAGCCATTCATAAGCATATTCTTTATTAGGTTTCAATATTCTTCTCTATGGGCAGCAGAATAGGTTTATATTGTCTTCGCTAACAGCTTCAAACTATTGCCAGCTAAATATAACTTTCACTCTTCAGACATCTTTTGATCTTGGCAAGTATATAGTTTTAAGTGCAATTATCAACTTGAGATTGGAGCAAGAGAGTAAAATTACCTCCCTTGCATCTCTATTTTTTTTTTTTTTTTTGGTCCGTGGTGTTTAGAATAGGCCCTTAATTGTAAAAGGCATTATACTTGATCAATCTCCGTTCACCTCGAGTCAATCTAATTAAAGAATAAAGTGTTTGCTATATTGATTTTCTTTTTTACAAAAACGGATTTTGAACTCGCGATCTATCTTACAAAGTGAGAGTGCACATCTACTCACGTAAATCAAGATGATTCTACCTTCCATCTTGATATATTTTCTTTTTTGTCGTACTGTTAATCATTATTCTTGAAATGACATCTCTCCTAACCTTAAATTTACACGTTACGTTACCCAACCTTTTAGAACCGTTGATTTCAGTGCTTAGGTGTTGGAGAATAGAGACATTTTCACTTCACATTCATTTTGGTAGCTCATTATAAATTGTGTCGCATTTATGAACTCAATTGCTGTCTCTGACGTACAAATCAAAATTTTAAAAATAAAAATGAGTCCGTTTAAGTAAAGTATAATTTCCGTACTAAAATGTTATAAATTCAATTATTGTTAATACTTTATCGATTAAGCTTGTACTACATGAGCGAGATAATTTTTTTTTCAAATGCGTTTTAAAACATATGTCAATATGTTTTATTGACAAATGAGAAATAAAATTAAACAATTTTTTTTTTAGATTTAGAAAAAGAATAATAATATAGATCAGTTGATGATTTTGCATTTTGCGATTTACCATATTTGTTTAGAAAAAGCATGATGAACTCTTTACAGCCCGTTTGGTTCGCTGGAAAATATTTGATGGGAAATGGAATTCAAATTCCATGGAAAACAAATTACCAGGAAAATAGATTCCATATTTGGTTGGTGGAAAATAAATTACTGGGAATATGAATTCTATTGTTTGGTTGGGTTTGGAATGATAAGGAATTATGAATATAAAGATCAATCTGCCCTTAACAATAATATATACATGTGTAATTAATAAACTTTGATGATGGTAAAATAGTCCAATATTGTTATACTTTCTTCCCAAATCTTTTGGAAAATAAAATACTTGCTAGGATTTTGTTTTCCTTCAACTTCAGGAACTCAAATTCCAATAGAAAAGATTTTCCATCCAACCAAACAACATTTTCCTACACTTTTAAGAAAATATTTTTCATGAAATTTGACTTCCATCCAACCAAATACCTTAAATTTAAAGTTCAAACTTATAATTGAAAGTAACAATCTTTATCCAAAATATATTAGGTGTTACTTATCCAAAATATATTAGTTAATATTACCTTTTAAAATCAAATTATAGAAATTCTATGCATAGAAATTTTATAGCACATATACCTTTAAGAGTATTTCTTATCTTTTTGGATGACGATTTTCTGAGCCACAAATCATACATGAGAGGTTAATTATATTAAGAAATTTTTCTGTAAATTGTCAAATTTATTATTTTTTAATAAAAAAAATTATGATTCACCAACTCGACCACCCTGCTGGACCCACATTGTACACATATTGTGGACTTATCTCCTTGTCATTATATATGATGTTATTTGTTTGTTGGCACGACCAAACTCCTATCCAATGGACAACATGTCAATGACAGTATGACACATCACCTGCAGAATATCTCTCAGATCTAATCTAATCTCTACAACAACTCTTGACTCCAAGAAAAACATTGATCGAACGACACGTCGACCTTTTCGGGCATACCCATGACCTGTCATCTACGCGGAAGATAAAAGTAAAAGTTAAACTCTTACAGTGAAAATCCCGAAATCTACGCTTACCATCTTTTCCATCTGGATACTTCTTCTGTCTCCCTGTATATATATACGCTCATTAGGTCCAACTAAATCAATCCTTAAAAGACCGAACATCTTATCAGAGCTGTTCCTCGATTATACGCGGTAATGATGAGTTTATTTTGTTAATTGTGACTGGGTATAGGATAAAGGTTTAATCTTTGGAGGATTTTAGATTCAGATCTGCACAGTTCGTTGTGGGTCTGCTTTCTTTTTGGCTTATATGAAGCTTTGATCACACTACACCCATTCTTGCTTTTTCTTCACTTTACGTAGCTTTGAAGATCACATCTGATTTTCAAGCATTTGCGTGTTTGATTGGTATAACGTTCGGTGTAACAGAAAACATGTTTCTATGATTTTATGTTGTTTTTTTACCTTGAATCTATGTGTGTTTTTTGGGTTGTCTACATATACTTGCATTGTGCTTGGACCCTTTCTTCAATTATCTCTTGTTTAAATAACAGTAATTTACTTAAATTCAGGTGGTGGGTTTTTTTTTTTTTTTTTTTTTTTTTTAAAGAAATCAAGATTGCATTTTTCTGGTTTTGGGGAGTTAATTGAATGCTATTGTTTACTATGCTTGATCCTTTAATTGTGTACTCAATTTGCAGTGGTTTAATGTGAATCTTATGGTATTCTGGGATTGTGTATTAGGTGTGACTTGTGAGTGATTTGATCAATGGCTTCAAATGGAACAAAACCCCCTCCAGAGCCTTCACCATTGAGAAAGGCGAAATTTTTCCAGGTAGAATACTGGTTTTGGATATGCTGATTAGCTTGGAGGAGTAGCATAAGTAGATGGCAGTTCGATTTTGTCTTCTTTGATTTGGAGTTTTTTTGGCTCTTAAGATCTGTCAGTGCCTTTATTTCTTACTTAATTTATGCTGCATTGTAATGTTAGGCAAACATGAGGATTTTGGTTACTGGTGGTGCCGGTTTCATTGGTTCTCACCTTGTTGACAGGCTTATGCAGAACGAGAAGAATGAGGTAACTGGTTCTGGGCGGGATTTGGTTGTTTTCTTAAATTAAAAGCTACTGGGCTAATGGTGATTAGAACTTAGAAGTAGCATCTTATGCTAAGATACGGTTTTTATGTTTTGTTTAGGTGATTGTTGTGGATAACTATTTCACGGGATCGAAGGATAACCTTAAGCAGTGGATTGGCCATCCTAGGTTTGAGCTTATTCGCCATGGTATGTTGCTCGTTTTGGTTTGGTTTGGTTAGGTTGTCTCAACCTGTTTTGCACTATGGATTATTTACTAAATTTTTCCTATTCTTTGTTCTCAAATAACACAGATGTCACAGAGACATTGTTGGTTGAAGTTGACCAAATTTATCATCTTGCTTGTCCTGCTTCCCCAATTTTCTACAAGTACAATCCCGTTAAGGTCAGTTAAAACTGAATTTCAGTTATTTTGTCGTGCCCGCATTGATTTCTTGTACATGAGAGTATCTTTGTTATGCCACTTGGAGTTAAAATTCTTAGATGTTTGAATCTGCAGACGATTAAGACAAATGTTATTGGGACGTTGAACATGTTGGGACTTGCCAAGAGAGTCGGAGCTAGGTTGGAATCAACTCGCTATTTTTTCTGTTTTCTGGGCATATAAATGTCGTTTTTCTCACCCCTGTGTAATGCTGACAGGATTCTGCTGACATCGACCTCTGAGGTTTATGGAGATCCTCTTGTGCACCCTCAGGACGAGAGCTACTGGGGCAATGTTAACCCTATTGGTAAATTAACCTCTAGTTACTCGAGTTTCTTAGATTGTATTTTAACCAACTTGTAGGGATGTGTTATTAATGGAGAAAAATATTCTATTTGCGTTTCAGGAGTTAGGAGCTGTTACGATGAGGGGAAAAGAGTGGCGGAGACTTTGATGTTCGATTATCACAGGCAGCATGGAATTGGTAACTCATTTTCCTTATTCTAGTTGATACAGAACAATGAATTGGATTCTCGTATCCTGATTTTGTGTTTTCTGTACAAAACGACAGAAATCCGTATTGCTAGAATTTTCAACACTTATGGACCTAGGATGAATATTGACGATGGTCGTGTTGTCAGCAATTTCATTGCTCAAGCAATTCGGTAATATTCAAAACCGAGCACTAGTGTTCCTAGTCTACTCCAAAGAATCCTCGTTTTGTAATACTCTTTACTTGCTTTGACATTTGCCTTGTTTTATGGCTGTTTAGCAATGAGCCCTTGACTGTCCAGTTACCAGGAACACAAACTCGCAGTTTCTGCTATGTTTCTGACATGGTATATCCTAAATTTTTTTGATTGAGTTTATGAAATAGTGTTTATGAGAGTTTATTTTTGTCCCCTCACCTCGAGCTTTTGGTCATGGTGAAGGTTGATGGTCTTATCCGGCTTATGGAGGGCGAGAATACTGGGCCAATTAACATCGGGAATCCAGGTTAGTCGTCGTTCCTTTCTTTCTAGGATGCCATGGATAACCAAACCATAACTGATCTGAGCTCTTACCATCACAGGTGAATTCACAATGCATGAACTTGCTGAGACTGTGAAGGAGGTAAGAATCTCAGAACTTACTTTCTGGCTTTCACCTGTTTCCTAGCTCAAAGAATCTGTGTGTTCTTGCAGATGATCAATCCAAAAGTGGAAGTTATTCAAGTGGAGAACACCCCGGATGATCCTCGCCAGAGAAAGCCCGACATCACAAAGGCGAAGGAGTTGCTTGGCTGGGAACCGAAGGTGAAATTGCGCGAAGGTATTCCTCTGATGGAGGACGATTTCCGAACCAGGCTGGGAATCCCGAGGAGTTGAACTCCATTGATGAACCATCACCTATCATCTATACCACACAATCTGTCATGTTTAGGAAGTCTTGTCTTCTCCAAACTTCTTGCTGTTTATTTACCATGATTGGGAGTACATTTTGCTGGTTTGAATATACTCACCACATGCCCTTATCAGTTATAAATGAATATGCTATATTGTCACATGCATGAACTATAGAAGGAACATTATGAGGTGATTCCATATAATAAACAAAAATATTTTCTTAAATTTAACTTTGAATGTTCATTCCAGTAATCTATAATGTAAGGACAAATAATATTTGATGCACTATCGGTATATAGGTGTTATATATCAGCGAGGCGAACCATAGTGCCCCGCGTCATTAAAAGATAAAGCGAACATTGACTCACCAAAAACCTTATGCTTCAACCACTTTTTTACTCTTCGGTGTCTTTTCCTTTTTCTTGCTAGTTTTCTTAGTTGCTTCACTGCCACCTTCTTGCTCGTTTTGGTCTTCAATCCTGGCAAAAACTGGTTGTGGTTGAGCCATAACCTGACCAGCCTTCAGCCCACCCCATGTGGTATGACTCTGCAAGAACAAAACCCGATAATTATGAGGCAAAATATGGTCCATAGAGAGTCGAGGGAGAAATATGGTGAGAAGAAGTGTGTACCCAAGTGACAGCACTGAACTGGTCTTCAGTGTAGCCAAGTTGGGTATAAATCCTGAAGCTTAAGCTTGGTGTAACGGGAGATAGAGCTACGGCTATGATTCTCACAGCTTCCAGTACAATAACAAGATCCTTGATCAAATGAAAGGGAAGAGTTAGCGTTTTTTAAGGAAATGATAATGGACTTCTAAAGATGTTCTCAAAGAAACCAGTTCAAGAGAATCATCTTATGCAAAGAATTACGAATTGTTGCTATTTCAGTGAAGTATGACAATTTGAACTTCAAAATTTCAATTTGAATCGTCATTGGTTCCTGATCTAGTTAATCAGCTGAAGAAAAGATACCTTGGCTGCTGTTTCAAAATCTGCACTGCCTTTCTTGAAAAGGGACCATGGTGCTTGTTTATCGATATATGAATTCCCAGCATTACCAATCTCTAGCACAGCCTCACAAGCTGATGATAGTGCAAGGTTCTCATAGTGAGAACGCACCTTCTCAACCTACAAAAGAAAATTATGTTCTTGTTTCCGGCTCTATATATGGTAATAGGTAAAATTTTACATAATAATTGGCACAATTCTACATATGGTTCATATCAAGTAAAACTTCTTTCATGGATCACTAGCCAAGGCAAGGGCTAATGTTGCACGAGATTACCAGTTTTTCAACCGTATCCTTGAGTGTATTCCCTTCAGCTGCAGCAATTGAATCAACGGGCAAAGTTGATTGGCAATTCTTCTTCAGTAGCCCAAGTGCACGGCTTAGAAGATTTCCTGCATAAGCAATTTTGAATTAAGACTTGGGAAAGAACTGCTTAAGCTCCAAAATGTGACTAAAAATGACTAGGAATCATAGGATTCATGAAACTTGTAATATACCAACTGTATTGGCAAGATGTGCATTAATAATGTTGACAAAGCGTTCCTCCGAGTAGTCTCCATCACTACCAAATTCCACCTCCCTGAGGAAAAAGTACCTGACTGCATCAGATCCAAATCTATGAACCAAGTCAGTTGGCTCAAGTGTATTGCCCAGCGACTTGCCCATCTTCATGCCATCCTAAAATTTTAAAAATAAAAGCAAGCTGCATGAAAGTGAAAATAGGCATATGAGATTACTAGCATGCTGCATGCATGCACATATTTGTATGTCTTTTTTGTATTTTATACAAGTCAAACATGTCAAGTGTTGTTAAATACTACATTGTAACAACTAACATTCTTAAAATGAAGTCACCGAAGCATGATGTTTGTTAAAACAAATAAAACTTAAACATGGGGTACAGACATCTGAAATAGTTCAAATGAATTACCGAACAATTTTCCTTCTGAAGTTCCGATATATGAGAATGCAAAGATCATTTGATATTAAGAGAAAGCATGCATAACAAAGTGCACTAAGATACCTTCGTCAAGAATCCATGGCCAAAAACCATCTTAGGGAGGTCCAACCCAGCTGACATCAGCATAGCTGGCCAATAAACCGCATGGAATCGCAATATATCCTATAGGAGACCATGAATAGTAAATTCAATAAGTGAAAAGATTTTATTTATATAAAAAAAAAAATTAAAAAATCCAACAACTTTTATGACCAAGAATCTTTGGCAACTTGTTTCCTAGATCATCTAAAAAGAGATGTCAGACCTTGCCAATTAAATGGAGTGATGCAGGCCACTTTGATGAGATAGCATGTTGTAAATCAGGTATCTCCTTATCCTCCAAAAGAGCAGATACATAACTGCTTGAGACAAAACAAAAAGAAAGGGCTTTGGATAAGAGGCATAAGGACAATCATATAAAGAAGCAATGAAGAATATTATAAGTTTTTAAAGATAATGTATTTTCTTAATGGTGTTTTGGAGGCGGTACTGCCCACTACCCAACTTCCATAGCACATAGACAGTCTTAATTCATCCATTCTTGAACATCAAATATAAGTAAATTTACTAATAGAATCAAGTTCGGGATCAAATGAAATAATGAATGAAGGATCAAGTCACAAGTATTTCAAGACTTTGAAAACCTTGAAATGAAAAACATCTAAAAGACTTTATAGATGCAGGAATGTAGGATTTTTAATGCACTAATCAGCATTATGAGCTAGGTTGAATCCTGTTAAAAAATTATAACACTTGCCTCACTAAACATTAGAAAGGTTTGTTATTATGTTGTCTGCAATTGCATAGTTACTTAAAGTCATGTATGTAAAAAGAGCATAAGCATATGATACTTGTCAGATGACTAGCAAAGTGAATCCTTTAGTTCTCTGAATCTTCTCTTTCTTTTTATATCTTCACAAATCCAATAAAGTACACAAACAAATATGTTATGGGCACAGTGATATGGAAGTCAGGAATGAAGAAAAATATCAGAAAACGTCTCACACCCACTGTACCCTCCCCCCAACCCCACCACAAACACATACATGTACACACACTGGCCTACATGGCAAGGGGGGGGGGGGGGGGGGGGGGCGGGAAAGACCCACGTACTAGGGGAATATCTGAATTGTTTCCCACGCACTAAATGCCTAAAATTATTGTAGTGCCAGAGACAATTAGATTACTCACCCCAACAAAGCATCAAACCACACATATATGGTTTGCTTAGGATCATTAGGAACTGCAATACCCCAATCCACTGATGCTCGGGAGATGGAAAAATCTTTGAGGCCACTTTTAATCCAACCTTGCACCTAGAAACATTCTACATCAGTTTTATACGCTGGAAGGATCAGAAATTGTACAAAAATATAATCAGCTAAGCATCATTACTTTGTTTTATTAGAATCTTTAACACTTTTTAAGCAGGTGATTATGTGAACCAATGACTCAAGAATCAATATTGGAATTTGGAAGAGAGAAATCAAATATACATACTTCTCACCTCATTTAGACGAGAAGAGGGCTGCACAAAATTAGGGTTTTGCAGTAATTTTTCTTCCAATTGCTTTTGATACTTTGACAGGGCAAAGAAGTAATTATCTTCCTTTCTTCTCACACATGGCTTTAAATGCACAGGGCAGCAGTCATTTTCTAGCAGTTCCTTCTCATCCTAAAATGAAATCAATATTACGCACACTACTAAGAGACAAGTAAGAATCTTACATCTATGCAATACATGCAAATAAGAGCTAGACACATGAAATTAGCCATATACTATGTTTACTTCAGTACAGTACAAACTGTAGAAAACATAATAGAGAGCAAAAAGGAGTGCATGCAAAAAAGGAGTTCAGACAAGCAGTATGCATTCATAGGACCAAAGGGTTGTTTCTATAAAGAAAGAGTCAATAAGTAACTCTTCCATTTTCCTAGAATATTTTATGAATGAATAAATGCAAATTTTGAATCATTGGTTAGAATTCAGAGTATTACTTCCATCACTCCTATAATGAGATGAATTATGAATAAAGCTGATATCTTCTCCTCAAAGAATCAAAATTTAAGGCAGCACATTACATTAGGGGCACGATAGAAACCTACTGCTTTGCATAGTGATTACAACATGAATTGAAATTGATTTAAAAGTAAACAGAATATAGGAAGCTCTAAAACAAGAGGTCCTTTTGCAAATACAAGAATGCACCTTGTACTCCTCACAATTGACACAATAAATTCCCTCGTAATCAGCTCTGTATATGTCGCCATTGGCAAAAACCCTCGAGTAAAATTCATTAACTATAGCTTCATGTTTTGGATCAGTTGTTCGGATAAACTTGTCATAACTGATGTCTAACTGAAACAATCAAGTTAAAAAAAAAAAGAAGGCAACACAATTTAAGATTACAGCCAAAAAGTATAATTTAAAAAAAAAAAATAAAAAAAAATGAAGTAATACTACTGAAATATCAATACTTGAAAATTATACATCTTTCCATAGAGCTTTGTAAGCTTGTGATATAACATCACAGTGTTCCCTTGGGCTGGAACCACGAGCAGCTGCAGCAGTCGCAATCTTCTCTCCGTGTTCGTCAGTTCCAGTAATGAATATTACCTTCTTTCCCATAAGCCTCTACCAGTAAGTTCAACAAATGAAAATTAAACAAATTTAAAAAAAAAAAAAAAAAAAAAAAGTTCTCCATTGTTTTCAAGTGGAAGAATAGCATCTTAAAGTTAAAATATGGTAGTGGAAAGGCTGAATGTAACCTGAAAACGGGCAATGGCGTCGGCGGCGATGGTGGAGTAGGCACTGCCCATGTGAGGAGGGGCATTCACGTAATAAAGCGGAGTCGTGAGTACAAAGTTCTCCGAACTTCCGCCGCCATTGTTGGCGCTACAAGTACAGTAGAGAGCTCCTCCGAAGCGCCTGGTATTCCAACACTGATAGGTTTTGCGAAGGAAAATTCGATTTCTGAAACAATACTTGCGGAAATTGATGGAATTGGAAAAGGGAGACGATGAGAACCAGATGCCATTTGGAATCGACAGCTGAACTCTACAAGCCATACTCATGCTCTGCAACTCCAATAAGCTTGAAAATGGAAGCTTATGACCTGTGTGCAGAAATGCAGAAGAAGGAG